GAGAGAGAGAGAGAAAGAAAGAAAGAGAGAAAAATGAAAAACGACAGTCGGAAAGGCGAGAAACAATTTCCCTCGCGAGCCTTCCTATTCATTGGTTGTATTTTGGCACGGGGATGAGTAACCAGCGCGTCTCTTTGAATTTGTTGAAGTTACATTCGCGTTATGAATATAATTTTTCTCGAAATGCCATCGAAAAGGCAAAGAGAGCGCTCACTGAAAAGTTTCTACGTTATGTAAAAAATCGTAGTGCGAGTATAATAAATAAATAATAAGGAAAGCATTGTTCACGAATTTATCTTTTCTTTTTTTAAATTAAAAATAATATTTGCTTTTTATATATAAATCACTTTGATAATACCAGAAGAGTTATTTTGTTTTTTTCGATACGCTTTCCATTGAATAAATATCGTTTTAATTTAATAATATAGACGATTAAAGCTTTCCAATGAGAGGATTAACGATATAAGCTTCATTTGTTTGGATTATTTGTCAGGATAATTTGTTCAAAAGTTGTGAGATTCTTCGTTTCAGTTGCGTCGATGAAGAAGATTTTTCTTTTTATTTTACTTGCTCGATTAGCGAAGTTGTGGAGGCCACCGGCCAGCGGTTACGTCCACGATCATCCGTCGGATTTCCTTTATTAATTGCATAAGATGTCTAGAGAGAGTCAAAGTTTGATTCTCGATCGCTGGTCTGAAAAAATTGTTTTTCATAATTAAATATTTGCGAAAAACAAATATATTATTAGATTAAAATAAAAAAAAAAATAACTGAAGAATTATTGATGTAAGAAGGAAGAAAAAATGTAAAATTGGAATCCAAAAAAAGAAATATCGATAAATATAAATTTATTAACTACGAATTATGAAAAAATTATGAAAAATTTATTTTACAAACTAAAAAAGCCATCAATATAAATCAAATTTAACCTAAATTATTAATATTTATAGTTGACAAATAAATCATTATTTTCATCTATATATTTTTATAATAAATTTTTTGTAGCTTTACTAATATTGCATACGTAAAATCATTTATTTATATATTATACATAAGATGACATAGAAGGAATAAAGAAATATATTGCAATTTTACTTGCTAATTACTTTTAATACATAATTCATTTTAGTAATTTGTAAAGAAAAATATATTCCCTTGCGATAAATAAATATTGCGTTCTTAAAAATCTATCTGAATTGTTTCCACATCTAACACATTAATATTTTTAAAAATTTTTTATAACTTTTTATAATTTTTAATGTTTCATATTGATTATTTTCAATTAATTATTTATACGTATACTAACAATAATTATACGTATACTAAACAAAAGAAACATATAACAAAAGTGAGGAGAAAAAATATAGAGCTCAAATTTCGTTTTTAACTCACTCTGTCCGGGCTGTAAAGAGGCGGATGTTGCGCCGGAAGTCTCAGCGTGCTTCCTAGGTCCCTCTCAGCCATTGTGTGCCCTTCGCTGGCACTGTCTCTTGTGTCTCTGGCGTCCTTAACGCTGTTCCTTCTAGTATCTGCGACTTTCGTCGGCGGTTGAATCGTCGTTTCACCGCAGGATCTGGCCAAAGTCGAGCCAGCCTCGCCTAAATCGAGCCTCAGCAGCTTCGTCGGTGCTTGGATGGTTGTCTCGCCGCAGGAGCGAGCCAAAGTAGAGCACAGGTCACCTTGAAGATCTCCAGTTCGCAACACTTTCGTCGCTGTCTCTACCGTGGTTTCACCGCAGGAACGGGCTAACGTTGAATCGGTGTCCATTTGACGAGTTACCGTTGCGGACACCTGGAAAAATATACACAAAAATTATATTGATATATAGATTTTAAAAAATATTTCAATATATAGTTCGAAGGGACACGTTATTTGATATAAGAGATTTTTTTTTAAATTGAACTATAATAGAAAGAAATGTGTAAACACGACGACTTCTATTTTTTTTTGGAGGAGAAGCACAATTTTTTTTAAATACATAAATCGCAGCTAGTTATAAAAAAAATCATATTAATTGACTTATGTAAAGTTCTGTTTATTTTACTATTTTAAGCGAAAATATTTTTGTTTGATGATTTTAATATTAAATTATTGAATAGTATAAAAAAATGTAAAAAAAACAGAAGTGTCTATGTAACATTATGTATTTTATTTTTCAAGATTGTAATTTAATATCTCTTTTATTTTTTATCTATTTTTTTCATTTTTTATAACAAACTCATCTATAATTTTATTTCTCATGATTTTAATTTCTGTTTAATTCATAATCAATAATCGATCAATTCTAATAATTATAACAATGAAACAAAGAAAAAGTTTTTAGAATCTTAATAAACTTTAATAAATACGAATTTTTTGGAGAAAAGTATTGATAAAAAATGGAATCAGTAAGTGATGAAAAGTACCTGGAAACCAGCGCTAACAAGAGCTCCAGTTGGTGCAGCTGGCGCTCTGACGATCTGTACATCAGCCTCCTTGCAATCCTTCGCGCTGGATACACTTTGCTTCCTGTTTCCGGTGTTATGCGTGCCGTTCTCGAGATAGTTGAGCAGCTTGTGCTCTTCTGTCGAGAACGTGCTCAACCCGGACTTGTAATTCTGCGGAGATTGGGGCGCCGATCGATATTTGGCACGAGGGATCATCACTGTCAACGAACGATCTCTTTGTTCGTCGTTCACTGGCACTATAATGATTTAAATCATTAAACAATACGATAAAAATGTTTTGATATTATACAAGCAAACCTAGAAACCTGGAATTTCACGATTAAACGAAACAAGACTAAAATATCTTTATAAATAAATCTATTAATAAATACGATTCTATTAATTTGGACAATCAATTAAGAAAGTTTATACAAATAAATAGAAAAGATGCTTATTCATAAGAATTGAGAAGCTTTCTTTATTATTACAATGTAATTTAAGATTTCTAATATCAAAATTTCTAAATTTTTCTTCTATATTAATTTATAATCCTTCACTTTCTTGTAATAAATAATTTCCAATTATTTATTAAAACTTTCTAATCTAAAAAAATTTATAAATTTTCTTTTCCTACTAATTCTTCATTTTCGTAATAAATAATTTCACTTTTTTTTTTAATTAAAAATGAATTTCGAAAAATATTTACCTGATGCAGGTACCATGGTAGCTTTTCTTGGCAGATGCCTAGGTTTCGTGCTGATCTTTCGAGCAGGTCTTTTGGTCGGTGGCAGGGGTGCAATCATCTGTGGGGGTGGTGGCAGAACATGCGGCATGTGGTGTGGAATTGCTAGATCCGTCACGCTACCCTCGCTACTGGTATCCCCGCCTGTTCCAGGAATCATTGCCCTTCTGTCGCCAGTTCTTCGTTTCCGACTTGGTTGACGGAAACACGCCATGCCGACGCACACCGCCAAAAGGCCCAGTAATATTGCACCGGTCGTAACCAGAGCTATCAGTAACACTGCAAACAGATTTATGGTATCGTATTACAGTATTTTTTAAAATATGAAATAAAATTTTTTTATTATTTTTTTTATTTTAATGTTATAAAGAATAGATAAGAAATAGATGGTCGTTTCGTTGTTATGTATATACAATGTATTTATGAAATATATATTTTTATTTTTTATATTTGTATAACATTTCGAATTAAAGATAAAAATAAATAGTTATTAATATACAGTATGTTCACGAAGTTTTATAATTAGATTAATATACAGATATTTGTTTTAACTAAATATAGTGAATATAAAATATTCGTTTTGAGATAAATGTTATGAAACAAAAATATTCTTCTAAAAATTGTTTGATATAAGGATAATATGAGAATTGTAGAATATGAAAAAATTTTCTGTAAATAAATGCATAGAAACAGATAAATTATTTAATTTGTTTTTTAAGTAAAAATCATATAATTTTTTATCAGTTCATTATTGTTTAAAAAAATTAATTTATATTGAAAAGATTACAATATTTTCTAAACTATTGATTTTTCCATATAAATGATTTAATATTTTTTATTTTTTTTAGAATCAGATTTCATAAGAAATAATGAGCTGTGATTAGAAATTATGTGACTTTATTTAAAAAAGAGAAGATTTTTATGTATCTATTCAACAAAAAAATTATGTATTATATTTCGTTATACTAAATAATTTTTTAAGAACATTTTTTCATAACATTCTTAAAAATAAAACAGACATTTTATAATTCAATTCTATTCTCAATAATTGAAAAAATCAATCCTAAAACTTTGCAAAAATATATGGTATATCGATCGTTTTAACTCGTTCTAACAATTTTATAAATGGTTATAATTCTAAAATAGAAAAATTTTTACTTATGTCATAATTTTATCATTTAAATGATAATAATAATAACAATAATCTCTGTTCTACAGAGATTTATTTTATAATTCGAAATTTGGTAAGTTACTATTCATTGATTCATAAGAATAGCTGTATTTTTATCTTCTTTAATTCATATAATATTATTGATTGAAAGCAGGAATGATCTATATTCAATTGTTGTCATTGCTTAATTTTTATTAATTTCGAGAAGAATAGAATATTTTATTTGAAATTCATCCGTTCGTAAAATATATCACGCATTTAAAAAAATTTTTAATTAAAAATGGATATAACTTTTTCACTTTTTTCAAAAGTAAACTTAAAAATTATTTATTAGTTTTTTTTCTATTTTGAATGAAATAATTTACAAATTTAACTATTTATTTTCCATTAAGGCATTGCAAGAGATAAATTAAGAAACGAATAAAATACAAAAATATAAATACATAATAACAATTTTGTTAGCTTTTGTAAGACTAGTTAGTATTGTAAGATTTGCGATAAATTTACCTTTGAGATTAACCTGGCATCGCTGACCACTGTGCCAAGGGAAGCACTCGCAGACTTCTTGACCATTAGTATTCGTCACGCAATGTCCTTTGTTGTTACAGCTAGGACAACCTAATGGCGCCTGAGAGCAAAATCTTCCAGGATATGCAGGATTCTCAGACAAATCTGCCCAGCCCTCTTTGCAAGAACACTGATAAGAACCTCGTAGATTGAAACAGGCTGCATTTGGCGAACAATCGTGATGAGGTCCTCCGTCTTCCGTTATGCATTCATCAAAATCGGTTGCTTCAATCTGAAATAAAAAATTTTTACGTATTAATGATTTCGATCTATAATTCTTTCATTTTCATTTTAATATCTAAGCATTATAAAATCTTTTATATGATAAGTAGAATGGAAATATTTATGTATTGAAATTTTTATGAATATATATCAAAGAAATTTATACTTAAATAGAGATTTCATTCCTTAAATATAATATATATTTTATTTTAAATATTTTAAACAATTAAATTTTGTCATAAATGCATAAATATTCACGATATAATAATAAAAATGCAGAAATTTTCGAAGATCGTTTGCAAAGAATTTAGATCTTTTTGTTGATTTATTCTCTCTCTCTTTTCGTTTGAAAAAGAATACTTACTACGTCAAGATTTTTCGAAGCAAAGACTTCAGTGCCTCCTAAACTATAATTACTTCCAATCAGATATTTTCGAAGTACTTCTTTCAGCCTTGTTTCATTAGCATTATCGCTGAGTTGAACGTGGAATTCTACTTTCGTTGGATCAGGTGTAAAACCAGCTATCTTCAGCCCCCTATAGATGTCTCTGAGATCACTCTGCATTAGAGTCCTGTCTAAGGCGTCTTTAGTAGGGCCTAGTAATTTTCTGAAAGCTGTTGACGTCGAATCGTTCATGCTGGCTTCGTAAATCACTGGCTCGTGTCCGATTCGATCCAATCCAACTCGTAACGTATAAGTATAAGTGGCTACAATCATGGATTAAAAAGGAAAATTAAATTTGAAAAAATTTTCTTAGAAATTGATAGTGGATTGAAGTCAAATGGGCATAAGAAAAGACAAAACCGTATCTATTTGTATTCCTCATTTGTTCTATTGTCAGATCCTGTTGATCAAATCGTCAGATCAAATCAGATAACAAATTGACAATGAAATGTCAGAAATATTTCATTTCTGTCATCAGACAATGCAATACAGTTCTGTCGCCAATCTGCAGTCAATTATACGAATATAAATAAAATAGAACGTTTTTGACACGAATTTATCTTTAAAAAGATTTGTTATATTTCTGCAATCAATCTACTAAAAAATTCTGTTATAATGTATCAAATCTGTTGTCTTTCTGACGACAAACTTTGGTGTCAAAATTTCGAAATATACTAAAAATGGATTTTCTTATTAATTTCATTTATATTTCTACAAATTCAATGATTCTCTAATACTCTATTGTATGTGTCTCAAAAAATGAATCGTAACTTAATCAATTTAAAATAAATTAACTTGAACAATAATTTGAACTTACGTTTACAAGGTCGATCAGGGAACATTCTCGCAAAACCTGGTCGACAAATGCATCTCATTTCACTTCCAACTTCCGCACATATTTCAGCTCTAGAGGCTCTACATTCTGGAGTGCATTGATTGACGATAGGTTGAAGAGATACTACTGGTGCTCCAAGAATTCCACCAGCTAGAACTCTATGAACTTCGTTTCCAGCTGGATCTTGTTCATCTCTTGAAATATCACCATATTCAGCCTCCACCTAAGAAAATATTTATATAAAAAAATAAAAAAATTATTATTATTTTCTGCAGATAATTTATAATAGATATAGACCATTGTGTTTGTGTACTTATATGAAATTTAAAATTTTAAACAAAAGTAAAAAAAAATAATACAGAAAAATATATACTAGAGATATATATAATAAAAATATATTTTAGAGTAGTACTGATTCTAAATATTGAAATAAACAATTTGATATAAAAAAATATCATAAACAATTTTATGATATTTTTAAAATAGAAAGTAAAAACTTAAATTTTACACACAAAATTTAAGATAGTCATATTTATATTATTTAAAAATTCTCAGAACTTAATGCAGCATAATATATAATTAATTTAACATAAATGTATTATATATATATATTAACTATTGCATATTAGAAATTTTAATGCAATGTAATACATAATTCATTATGCGTTGATATGAATTTCATATATATCATATTTCAAATGTTTATTAAAAAATTCAACAAAATATCAAAATTAAATTTTAAGCTTCAATGATATTTTTGCATATTAATTTTTATATCTTTTTCAGAAATTATTAAAATCTCTTATATGAATCTTTCATAAAAATTCTATATAATAATATACATTATTATATAAATTATAATATATGTTTTTTTAATTATATAAATATATAATTGCGTTAATTTTTATTATTTAAGAAAAATATAATACAATTAAAATTAAAAGGATACTTATAAATAAAATTTATTTCTTACATTTACCTCTTCAGCACCAGGTGCCGGTGGTTTCTGATCGCTCATCACTACGAAGATGGAATCATTGTCGACAACGTTTTCGAAGGATGATGGTATTCTAGTCACTATCGATTGCAAAATCGTTGATGTAACCGTAGAAACCACGCTAGTCGGACGTAATAACGTTTCTGTCACCGTTTCCACTGTGGTTGATGTCAACGTGTGGGTAAGCAGTAATGTTCGAGTTGTAGGTGGTGAACCCAATACAGATGTTTCCGTTCTCGTTACCGTTGATGTCTGGAATCGTGTCACCTGTATGATAAAGGATTGTAACAACGATTGAAGCATAATTTTTTTATAATTCATTTTTCTTCCTTACAAAAACTTGTTTTGTAATTTCGTCAAATTAACTTTTTAAACTTTTTAAGAAAAATCTATTACTTAACATTATTAACTTTCTTAATTACTATTACTATAGATTCTAGAATACTATAATACTTATAATTATTATAATTGGATTTTCAAATAATTGATAAAACATTAACAGTTTTACTTAGATTAAAGTATTATAATTTTAATTTATAATTCCAGATCTATATTTTTTATTGAAGAATTTCATTATTTTATCAAGAGAATTAATTTATCTAATGATTATATGGAATTAAAAAAAATTTGATTTGATTGAATATCAATTTTAACGATGAATATCGAAACGATTTTAAAATATCTAATAATTCTGTCTTAACTTCTATTCGAATTAATATATCTCTCACCTCTTTAGGTTTCATACGCATAGTTGTCGTTGTCTCATTACCAACTTTGCGCGTATTGCTGACATTCTTCGTCATCTTGATTACCGATTCGTTTCGTCTATCGACATTCTCCAACAACGTGTTCGTCACCTTCGTTATCGAGCTGTCAATCCTGGTGACCACACTTGGCAATTTCTTCGAAACTGTCTCGTTCTTTCGCTTAACTTCCGTCACTGGTGAAACGATCACCTTCGAGACTTCGTTCTTCGTCATAGTGGGTTGCGACTCCTTCTTCTGACTCGTGCTTACCACGTGAATCAAACTCTCTGTAGCTTCCACCTTCGATGATGGTAAAACGATGTCGTGACTTGACTCCAAAAATACTGGATGCTCTGGTCGTTTCACCGGATTTCGAGGAATATCGGTATTGTGTGATCGAGTTGGTTCCACGTCCCTAGTAGAAGACGATCTGCTTGGTTGAATGTGATCCACTTGGACTGGTCTTAGCTTCGTTGGGATTACTAAGTTCGTGGTAAGCATCGCTGTTGGTTGCACCGATATTCTGCAAGATTTCATCATATATCACAATAATGTATATTGAAAATTCAAAATTGACGACATATTAATTAAAAAAATATTTTTAAATACCTAGATACAGGTCTGGTGTCGAATGGTCGCACTGTGTATATGCTAACGTGCTCCGTCTTCCTGGTTTCGATTGGTCTAAGTATTTCAGGCACGTCTATGACTACTGGAAGATCAACGGTGCCGTGTATGATAGGTATCTTCGATTCAATATCTTGGACCACTGGTATGTGCGATGTTGCGACAGCTGTCGCGATTTGAATCGATCCAGACACCGCTACCGCTGGTCTCACGGTGGCTATTTCGAGTGGCCTCGTTGTCTGAGTTACTGGTGGTGGAGGTACCATGTCCTGGAAAACATAAAACTTATAATAAATCGTTTGAAATGCTTAAGAAACCGATCGTATTTGTATTATTTTAATTATCATATGTAAATTTCAAAGTACAAACGAGATTAGATTCTTATGCAAAAACATATTGTTATTATTTGATATTGTTATTATTTTATTACATATTACAATCAATAGTCAAAATAAGCATATGCATATATGTTAAATATTTCAGTTAAGCTTTCATATTTCATTCGTATTTGATTATAGATGATTAAGATATTAATATCATCAAATCTTATGATATCAGAATGGTCATTTTCAAAATAAATTAATATTAACTAACAAATATAAATATTTAAACATAACAAATATGAAGAATACTTATGATTTATCGTAATATCAATTATTAATTAAAATTATTAAATACCCAATATAAATAATGTTATATGTAATATATCTATATTGATTTGTATATAGATATTTTACAAGCATAAATTTTATATATAATAACTTTTAATAAAGCTAGCGATGAAATGTTTAACTTTTAATAAAATTTTAAAAAATTTTCAAAATTTTGTCCAGTCTAGCAAATTAACATAATAAATTTACCTGAGACAACAATTCCACGATAAAAGGCCTAGTAAGAGATGGTCTTGGGCTAGGAGGAACCATGCTAACACTGGGCAAAGGCGCAACAGAAGATTCTTTCAGAGGAATATACTTAGGAGGAGGCTTCAAGCCGGATTCATTAGCCGTAACGAATGAGAATCTATCTTCAGTAGGGCTATTTGTTGTGGTAATATCAACGGGTGGAGGCGATAAACCGACAACATCTCTCGAAGGTATGGGTGGTGGTTTCAAATCTTCCTCTTCGTTTTTATTCGATTGATTGAGGCCAATCACAGGTCTTAATGGTGGGGGCATCATGTCTCTAGAAGGTACGTTCATTCCTTCCATATTAGTCAACATGTCTCCAGTGGAGGTTTCAATAGGCCTTATTCGAATCTTGCTCTCGTGATTCATGGAATCATCTTTGTTCGCATCTTGGGTCGCAAAATTCGTGTGATAGGAAGTATCTATCTTCTCCGTATTCTTTTTCTTGTCACTCGAATTATTCGTTGTGATCAACATGCTTGGTGGCCGTTCGGTTTGCGTCTTACTATCCATCTCTTCGCCAATTGCCTCCACAGGTAGGGAGAACCTAATGTTTGGTCGAGTGTCAGGTTTGTTATTAGCTGTTGAAATAGTGATTGGACCAGGTACTTGAGGTTTAGGTTTGGTGACTATGTGAGGATACTCTGGATGAATCTTAGTTGCTGAACTATAATCCTGTTGAATTATCACAGCATGATTCTTTTCTAATTTGACAGGATTAATGCTCGTCTGAGGAGGATATTGACTTTCCATTTGATGAGAAATGGAGCTGTTTCTATAATGATTCTTCATAATTTCACTCCTGTTGACCAGAATCTCTTGTCTTTTATCGCCAGCTTTCATTTCATTCTCCCAATTAAGATCCATAAAACCACCTAATTGAAAGTGGCTCTGATTTAATTTTTCAGAATAACTCAAACTGTTGTTCCCAAACTGTTGTTCTGAGGTATCTGGTTTACTTTCATTAAGCCGGTTCACATGATCTGGCCTAACTTCTGAGGTTTGACCGATGATCTCTGGCTTGGAATACAACACAGGTCTGGTTTCCACTTTATTTACAATAGTCGGTCGTGGATATGGTCTGTTAGGTTTGTCCAATTCGGGAACGAATTGCGGAATGATCGCTGGTGGCTTCAGATCTATAGTGTCGTCATGTTCACGATTAGATGGCGTAGATGTCTGTTGATTCTGTTGATTCTTATGGCTGATCTGAAGCACTTTATTTCCATAGTATGTCGATGGTACACCCTGAACTATGTCGTATTCGGATGTTTCTTTATAACCATAATTTGATTCTTCGTGTCCAGTGTACACACCAAATGGTTTTCCTTGAACTATTGGCGTCTCATAAGGTTTGCTATTGTAATAATTAGGTCCATACTGTGTTTGAATCGATACGTCCTCGTTTTTATGCGCAAACGGAATTCCTGGATTGATCCAAATAGGTTTTTTCTTTTGATCTTGCTGAGAATCGATTTCACCAATTTTTCCTACCATCGTATTATCAGAAGCTACATAAGAATTCTTATTTGATGATGTATCATTATTGTGATCGTTAATCAAAGACGTATCACCTTTCGTTTTATCGTATTTTTCAACTTCTTTCACCTGATTGTGATACTTGACCGGTTCAGAGGCATCACTTTCTGAATCCAATGTCTTCTCCGTCTGCGTACCACTGTACCAGGTTTCTTGAGTCTTCTCAGGCTTGACATCCTGATTAGATGAAGCCTCATTGAACTTCTGCGTTTGAATGCTTGATACAACTGGCCTGTCATTTTGCTTTAACTTGAGATTCAAAGGATTGTGATACTCAATCGCTCCAGTAGGCACGTATTCCTCTGTTCTTTCGGTTTGTGGCTTCATCTGCTCTATGCTCGTTGGTCTCTTTTCAGGATAGAAATGAGGTGGCCTATTTTGAAGATCTGTTTGCTAGAAAAAAAAAAATGGAAAAATTAGAAATAAGTGTGAAATACAAATAAAATTAAGATATAAAAATTAATGATATATAAATGTTCCATTTGTATAAAACATTCACTTTACCTGAGGACGAGCCCCAAACGAAGGCTGCCTCTCAGTCACCACATCCCTTACCAATTCTCCAGGCATAGAAGTTGTTATTCTAGATGGTTCGTGATGAATCTGAGGATTGGTGATCGGACGATGAGGAAGCACGAATGTGTTCGCGTTCTTCGTCGGAAGCCTCTGAGGCCCGTTGTAAACTGGTTTCCTGATACCAGGCCTTTCCGGGTAAATCGGTCTATCCAGAGGAGGACGACTGGTTGTCGATCTCAACGGTAGACGCGGCCTCAGCCTGTTATTCATCAGAATTCTCGGCGGTTTCTTGTCCGACTTCCAATTAGAATTCAAGATGATCTCGTTTCCTGAGTCTGGCTTAGCCAATAAAATGTATCGATGCGAATTGTCCGATGGATTCGACATTTCCGTTCTTCGAGGCGGCGTTCCGGCCTCTACAGGCTTTGAAATCTTTGGATATTGTCCTCGTGGCGGTAAATGATTGTTGGAGTGTACGTGAGGATGGATAGCAGGATGAGGAATGCTCTGAGGTCGAACGTTCACGGTTTCCGGTCTGTGATGAACCAAAATCTCTGTATGCACGTGACCTTGACCGCCAAGGACACCCAAGTTGTCGGGATGTTTGATCAAATGCACGTCGGATGGCTTCTTTTCTGGCCTGACCAAGGATACTTCTAATTTATCTTGCGGTCTTTCATAATCGAAATGAGCTGGTGATAAAGGGATGGTTGCTGGACGATTAGAAGGATGTTTCTCAGGTAACGTCTTGAAGTTGAGTGGCGGCGATGGTGGTACCATATAATCTGCTGGATCCTTTCCATTGGTGTATTGGGGTAGATTTTCTACCTAAAAACATTTGAAATTTTATATTTTTATTCAAATTGTTAAGTTAGATTTTTTAATGAAAATTGATATACTTGTAAGAGATATATCTGTTATATATTCTAAAAAATAAAATAAATTGATATTAAAAATTATAATAAAATTTTCCATTTATTATTAAAAAGTTTCTTTTATTTTATTGATAATGATATAACATATGCATTATTCTATATAAATATTTAGAGTATTAATATTATTTGATTAATTTTAAAGTCGAAACAAATAAAAGTTGGTATGTTAATAATGTCGAATTATTTAATAAATAATAAATAATTGAAGTTTGCATTGATGAAACGAGAAGAAAATTCTATTTGTCGCACTCTATTTTCATATCGTTCTCATTTAACGTGAATTTGTTTGAATTAACGTGAAGTTGTTTGTAATTTAATACGTAAACCTTAACCGACATTCTTGTATATCTTTTATATTTATTTTAGTTTCGAGAATCCATTCTCCAAAGATATTCTACGAATATAACATTCTCTATATGATAATATTGATATAATTTCTATTAATTTCTTTATTATAAAGAAATTGAGACTTACTTTTCTACATAAATATAAATTTTACAATATAATAATATCGTTTTCTGTATCGTTCATTTTTCGTATAAACATCCAAAATTATTCTATTTCTAATAATGCAATAAGATCATTTTTAATTCGAATGGCAAGAATTCTTTCAAGTTCAGATATATACATTATACGAGATTTAAGTTATATTTTTGAATTTATTTAATAAATTTTTGAATTTTTGGAAATTCAATATATCGAAAAATTAACTTACCCTTTGAATTCCAAGGAACCTAAACCAACCTCTGATTCAGGATAGGGTGATGGATCGTCGAAATATTGTCCACTGATGTGGGGTTCGCTCGTGTCACCGAATATCAATGCCTGAGTGCCACCTTGAGGAATTACCACGTTGGCCACCTGACTGGGTTGGATATTAACCAACAAAGGTTGCCCGGTTGATCTATCGATGACGTGTGGTACTTGATGAACTATGGGCTCCGCTGGTGTTGGTTTGGATTCCGAAGTTTGAATGACAATCGAAGTTTCGGGAAGTAAAGGGTCTTTCTGGGCCCATGGTGGTCGCTTTTGTTCCTCGGATGGAACAGTTGGCCAAAGTTTATCCATCGATGGCTTTCCCAGATCGATTTTCTGAAATATTGATCATAATGTAGAATTGTAATTCGTAGTATTTTAAAAAATTTGAATTTTTATAATTTTTGAAATATAATAAATCAAAATTATATAAATTGAATTAGAATCAATTGAATCGAATTGCTATATAAAAGTTTTGCAGTTTTGAGAATTTTGAGAATTCAATATAAAGCATTTTGAAACTTAAAAATAGACAATAACAAGATTGTAAATCTAATTATAGAATCCTTCTTTATTTTTATTTGACGTAGAATAAATGAAAATAAATTGTTATTTAAATAATTATTCAAATAATTAAATTAAATTTTCATTTCGTTTTATATTATCATATTATAATATTTTAATATTATTTGCATAATAATGAAAAGATAAATTATCTTATTATTTATTACTTTTTATTATTATTCGAAATAATCATACGTTTGATAAAATCATTTTTCAAATAAGATATTAAAATTTAATTATGAATATGTTTATTTTAAGTAAATTTATCTTTTATTTTAATTCCAAGTAATTGTTTTTACTTAAAAGATATCTAATCTTATTTTACACATAATTCTAATTATTTTAATCCTCAAATTTATCTAAAACTTAATCGTCATAATAAAACATAATACACGATAATAATAATAATATTAAGGGAAACAATGATTTTGACAATATTAATAAATAAAAATTAATGTGTATACCTGATCAAACTGAGGATGGGACGGAGGAAGCTTCAGGGGATCCTTAGCACTCCAAGGTCTTCTTGTTTTATCAGGACTCCATTCAGGTTCCTTTGGATTCATATTTGGATTCGCATACTGTTCCACGTTAGGTCTATCGGGTGGCTTCAACAGAGGATCGTTCTCTAACACATCTTGCTTCGAACCAATCCTCTTTGGGGGGGTCGGTTGAACCGGAAGCAGCTTTTGAGGTTGTTTCAACGTAGGATTCGTATCGACAGGCATAGAGATAGGTATCTTCAAGTGTTCCTCGTAGATCTGATGCGCAGGATATATCTTTATCTGTGGACCTTTGTGACTCTGAAGGGTTTGCTGAGCATCATCCCGATCGTTCTCCAGGACCTCGAGAACAGGATGGACTGGAATGTTGGGAACTGGTAACGGTGGTGGTTTCATTCCTATGTTTTCTTCGTCCTCCAAGAACGTTTGAGGCGGTCTTGGTGCCATTTTTCCTGGTTTACCGATGATCACATCGCTATTCGCGGTGATTACCTCGCCTGGAGAAATTGGAATTCCATCTGCCAGGCTGGATGCAACTTTATGACGCGTCTCTGCGATGTAATTGTGGTTGAGGTTTGCCAGATGTGTACCTTGAAGAATTTTTTATTATTGTTTTATTTTTCAATAACTGTTAAATAAAACTGATTGATATCTTTCGATGATAATATTTTATTTATTTATTTTTGTTTGAAAAATGTTTCTAGATAGTATTTCTTTTTGAGATTATTAATATATTGTTTTAAAGAGTTTTATTTTTTTTTTTAATTAAATACATCAATCATCAATTTTCAAATTATTAAAAAAGAATATATGTATATTGTGAAAAATAAATTATTTATTAAAAATAAATAATAAACTTTTAATTTTAATCATTAACTTATTTACAAATTTTATATTATAAATGAATTGTATTTAACAATTGGAATCAATCGATTACATCTTTTTTGTTTTACAAAAAGAATTACCTATATTTTGACTTTCAGCAGCTTCAATATCTCCATCAGCGAACTCAGCGACAGGTATGTAAATAGGTGATCTTTGCGTAGTGACTTCCTGCGTTTCTGCCTGTGGTATCGAATCATTCCTTCGTGTTGCTGTGGTTTTACCCTGAAGTAGGCCAGCCATCGCAGTAATCACTGGACCCAAAGCCGACAAACTATTGATTCCTAACGAACCTAGACTCAGAAGATTGCTCACTTGAAGATCACTCGTGTTTTGATTGACAGGCTTTTTGTTCTGCCCAGATTCTGCGGAAACCGTTACATTGTTCTCCTATAATTCAAATATAATCAAATTAAAATCTTATCGTAAGAATTTTAATTACACACATATTTTTAGTTATTTAAAGTCGAAATTTAGTTATTCAAATTTGAATATACATTTAAATTAACACATTTAACGATATTTACATCATGGAATACATATGTTAGAACGAAAAATGATTAATTTGCATTTTATATTACATTTCTCTCACTAAGTATATTCCTTTATGTAATATTTGAAAAAATTGTTTATTTTTCAGTTGCTTTAATTGATAATTGAAGTCTTTTAACCAAGTTTTTCGATTACCTGATTAATTTGTTCAGTAGGTTTCAGATTTGGTTCGTTAACAACCGGAGATGGTTCAGTAGATACAAAGCTAGACGAAATCGTTTCATCCTTCTGCACTTCCACCGAAGAGGTGGCTTCCGGGTAGTTGGTGCTGGTAGTAGGATCAATTTGGTCTTCCTCATCGAAGAAAATGATCGTCGAACCAGTGACCACGTTTTTCACGGGATCAGAGTGGTGTGCAGTTGTTAGTAAAGCGTTCATGTAACCAGCATCTAGTAAACTGGGTGCTATCGATTCTGTTACCACGTTTTCTACAATGTGCGACCTCGAAGAGACTGTTGTGGAAGTCTCTCCATCTGGCCCCGCCTGAAAACGAATAATTCTCAAAATTTCTAATTTAAATTAATATCTATTTATTTGACACTTTTTTGGATATATGAATAAAATAATGTGACGCAATATTATTTTTCCATTCGAATGTGAAATGTTTTGTTAAAAGATTTGTTTAAACTCTGTAATTAAGTATAGAAACTAAGTAATTTTTATCTTAATATATTTTTTTTATACTTTTTTATGTTCTTAAATATCATAAAATAGTAAAACATGATAAAGGTGTCGAAAGAATATAATAACGATACGAAGCAATTTTGTAATATTTTCTTAAAAAAAATAATTCTTACAAAATATACATTATAATTATATTTATAATTATATATTGAATGTTTCTTCGTCTTGTTATCTTTAAATTATTGGCATTTAATATTTTTTTAAACATAATCAAATATTCCATTTATTTTATCTTGATGGAAAAATGATATATAAAAAAATTATTATATTATATGTTCTTTTCAATATCAAAAATTTTTTGTTTGAAATATTTTTTAAACATAATAGTTTAATTTAAAGTGAATTCATGTAAACGCGAATTCAAAATTAAATGATTCATCCTATATATTTAATATAGGATATTTATATTTTTATTTCGTGATCATCATCGTTAATTTTTTTTTTTGGTCATTACATAGATTTCAGAAATTTGTCCATTTTTTTCTGAAATCTATTAAAGAAAGTAAAGAAGTACATTGTGAAAAAAAGCATTGAGAAGCAATAATGTAAATTCTATACTTGTATTTTTGTACACTTGTATACAAAATATATTTTATATATATTTTATATATGAATACTTAGATATTCAGTTGCACGCATAAAATTTAAAAGAATGAAACGTTCGAGGAATAAATTTCCTTTACTTTTTCATATTCTTTAATAAATAATATTCAATTACATTTTAAAAAATTGATAGATGAAATATATTATCATAGAGAATATGAATCACAATATTTTTTCTATGAATGCAAAGAAGAAAAACCTATTAATAAATCTCTGTACAAATGAATTCTTAATTTTTTATTTTACAACAAAATCTATTTATTCCATAAAAATTTATGCGTAAAATCTTAATTTTGAAACAGAAACCACTATGTTTTATGACTGTAATAAACATTAAACTCACGATCTCTAATATCTTAATTAACCGACTTACCTGAAGCAACGTCGTAAAGTAGGTAAACGTGGTTAGATACGTCTTCGTGGCAAAGATTTGAATAGGTTCCGGAGTGGGATTCACCATGGCTGTCTTCGTGGTTTTCTTGACAGGCACTTTCTCCAACACAACATCAGTGGACGTCGCCACGTTCGTACGAACCACTGTGCTCCCTTTCTCCAGGAAGGTATTGTAATAAGTATAGGTAATATAATAAGTCTTCATGACGTCTGTCATGTTTTCTTCCGTACTGTCTAACGCTGTTAATGTGGTCGTGACACTAGTTGGACGAGGAGGTGGTGCAGATTCTGTTACTATGAGCTGAAAATTAAATGTTACCAGTCAATCTATTCATCTACTAAAATGATTGGCTCACCTTTAGAAATTGAATAGTTTTTTTCATAAAAATTCTTTTATAATAAATAAAAAATAGAAAATAAATAAAAATACTGATATAAGAAGATATTTTTTTATAGAAGAAAATAGAAAAACCATGGAAAATGAAAAAGACTTTATTTAATTGAAAAATATGGAATAGATTAAAATATAAAAAAGGATATATAAAATTTTTTCATAAATTATTTTTTATATTAAATAAAATTTATAAGAAAGATGATAGAAAGTTTTAATCTAAAAAAAAAATAATATATATATATATATATATATATATAAAATTGATTACTTGCAATTATCTGTCTTTTTTATCTGTATTATAATGATTTCATTTAACATCAATAATTCTTAACTGATTATATTATAATTAATGTCATTTTTAACGAAATTGAAAATATTCTAAATTTTAATCCTAATTAAAAGTGAAATCAAAGTTGAAATATAATTACATCGACAAAATAATTTAATTCTATTTCACGAATAATAAATATATTAAATCTCATATTATCATCGCATTAACACAAACCTGAGTAATAGTATCACTAGTTGTTTCTATTTTAGTACGTCCATCCTCCATGAAAGTCTTTTCCAGCATCCTAGTGCTGAGATATGTGTTCGTTTCCGGTCGTGGCGCTTCCGATGGCTCGAGAATCATGTCCAGATAATGTTGAGGGGCGGTAACCGTATTTGTAATTACTTTAGTACTGCTTTCCAAAGCGTCGTTTATATCCGAATGATCGGTGTTTAGTGTTAGATAGGTGTAAGTGGTTTTGAACACTTCTGTGCGTAACGTTGGAGACGCTTCCAATGTTACCGCTGCAGTTTCTGATCCAGGCTTTCTGTGACGTTCCTCAGTTGCCGTGTTTGCTATTACCTGAAAGAATTTATTAAATTCTTATAATATAACTGTATATTTAAATTATTAGTTAAAAATATTTTGAGAATATTGCATTAATTGGTATTAAAGTTTAAGATATACCATATTTTTATAAGTTTAAAAAAACAAATTGAAAGAACTTTTATTTTTATCGATGATGTAGAGATATACAGATATTGTAACATTGTAATATCTCCAAAGAAAAAAATGAAAAATATTTTGAGTTAAAAACTCAAAAAGAGAATATAATACTAAGAATTATATATGTGAATATAATATAATATATATTATATTCATTTGTATTTTGATTGTCATAAATGAAAATTTATAATTTATTTATAATATCATAATTTAAATCAATAATAATTTAAATATGATTAAAAAACATATATAATATTTTAGAAGATTAATGAAATGAACAAGTGAAATGATATAAAAAAATAATACATAAAAAAAAGATAGTAAAAAAGGAAATAAAATTAAAATAAAAATACTATTTAAAAACGAATCCAAAGACTAAAATAAAATTTGAAAGCACAAATAAAAATGTCTGTATTCGAAAAAAAAAAAACAAGAAAATTAAAAAGATATAAAAGAAATTAAAAATATAAAAAAGAAACAAGTTCATGTTCATATTCGAAATATAAAAATATAAATTAAAATTCAGATTGAAGGAATCAGAGTTGAATAAAAAATGAAAAGACAGGAGAAGTTAAAGAGAAATTCATAATAGGTTTAAAAACAGAAAAGAAACGTGACATACATAATAAAAAAAGATTATTCCTATTATACTCTACCTGTTGCTCTGTCGACACGATAGTCGTTCCATCCTTCGTAATAGTTGTAAGATACGTGAAGGTAGTTGTGCATGTCTTTGTGACAAATTCATTCGGTTTATCTTGTGGAAGCATCATGACGACCGCGTCAGACAATGTCAGCGTAGGCTGAGGAATCGAGTTTTCCCATCGTAGAGCCGGTGTTGGTCCTGCCACAATCACTTCGACTCCATTTGACATGACGCGAGTGGCCAAGTTAAACCTTCGACCTTCTTCATCTTTTCCTTCCTGTTCTCCTATCGTTACAAATTCACGATGAAACGATTATCATATTTACACTTTAACAATGTCAAATTATATAAAGATATTTATTTTTTTAATAAATATATCTGAAATAAAAGTGAAATAATTCAGAATAATTTATAGTATTTATAAATACGCCTGAATAATCATGCTTTTCATAAGAAATATCCTGGAAATAATTATTCAGACGCCAGAATGTAGACGGTCACTGTACATGGTTAAAAAATAGTTTTTGAGATAATCAAGAAACAAAAATATACAGAATAGACTAGAAATACAATAAACGATAAGAGATTGAGTATGTACAAGATATCAGAATTCATTTACAGTTATGTACAGTTCACTTAGAGTGTCTATTGTACAGAAAATAATTTAGACCACTGTAAGCCAATCGAAGTGAAACTCGAAGGAAGACTGTACATCTCGAGCGTGGTAGCCACGCGAGAGAAAAGATATTATTATTAGTCTAAAGAAGAATATTATTTTTTACAATGATCACTTAGTGTCCTGAACTAATCATTCTTTAACCATTTCACGATTTTCACAATTCTATAAACTTTTTTAAAAATATTCTCAGAAAAGTTACCAGTTTCAACAATCATTATTTTCAAATATCATTTCATAAATTTTTATAAATCCATAACATGAATACTTTTAGAATTCAGAAAACTATTATTTTCAATTCAAATATTCACTTCATATCATTTTCAAACTTGAAATATATTCTTTATATAATGCATTAATTATTTTAAAACCTAAAGGAATATCAAAGGGATCCCTTTAACAAGATTTTGAAGAACTTTGAAAAGGAAAAACTTGGAAGCTTTAAAAATATCGACAATTACTTCAGAACATTCTATGACCACGATAGAAAAGGCTTATCGCAGAGCCAGTTATAGCTACTCACCAGCAACGGGCACCGGGCTATACACAGACGAAACTGAGTACGCTGACGACTCCACGGTAGGAGTGACGGTCACCGTGACGGGCACTGTCAACGTAAGGGTCGTCACTCTCGGTCGGACGGTCGTCGAGGATGTCACTTTCGTCTCCAGTCCGTTTAGTTGCGTCACCACGTAAGTATACGTTCTCAGTCGTGTCGACGTAACCACTGTCTCGGTATAGTAAACGCTCGTGCTCGGTTCTAAATCCGGGGTTTCGGATCTGGTCTCGTGCTCCACGTGGACCGGTTTCGACGGCAGAATCTCGGGAAAGTCTGGCCTCGACAGGGACAAATACAGGTCATCTGCCAATCCTGCCTCGATTTCCTCGGGGGTTGGCGACGAGATAGATGTCGTCACTATACCCTCGATGCTAGGTGTTGCCTCGAGTACCACGGAAGTACTCGTTGAGTCAGACATATACTCGACACCAAGGGGGATCACGCTTGGGATCTCGGAGTCGTCCAAGTAGCTAAGGGTGTTGGAGTCGAGTGATTGGGACGTTTCTAACGGTAGGACACTTGCGAAACTGGGAGATATATCAACGAAAAGTGTCGAAGACGAAGTGAATTCTGTAATTGACTCTATGGGTTGTACCGTCAAATTATCTTCTTTCTCTTCAGATTTCGTTGCGGTTTCTGGAATCTGTTTAAGGGTGAAATCTATCGTGTCTGGGAAAGATCTTTCAGTTTCTGATTTAAAACTTGAGGTGGTTATTACAATAGGGTAATTATTGATTGAGAGAGATTGAGTCTCTTTATTGAGATCTTCGGTCGATTCTTTTAAGGTTTGGGATTCTTCGGTATCAATTTTGGGAGAATCTTTGGATTCGATTGCCGTGACGTGAGATTTGATATCTTTTTTGAGGGAATTTTCTGTGTTTTTAGATAAAGATTCCTTCTCCGAGTCATCAGTTTCAATTAATGTGGTATTGGATTCTAAATGTTTTTCAAGAGAATCTTCATGATTTTTAGGTGAAGTATCTTCAAAGTCAATTGCAATAGTTGTAACTTGGAATTCGATATCTTTTTCCCGCGACTCTTTATCTTCTGATGAAGAATCTTGATAACTAGTTTCAGTAGATGATAAAGAATGTTCGGTGTTATTAATTTTTTCTTCTTCCTCGGCAATTGTTGTAGTTTCTCTATCAAAAGTTATTACAGTCTCTGTTTTTTCTTCAGAATTCAGAACAGTGATTGTAGTTTCCTCCACAGGTATTGTGGTGTCTATCGTCTCGACTGTCGTTGCATGCTCTTTTTCTTTTTCATCCTCTTTCTCATCGTCTTCTTTAATCTCAGGATAAGTGGTCGTTGGAACATTTTCTTCCAATGTCTCTTCAAAACTTTTTTGCGTTGTGATTATTACTTCTTCGTCTTTTCTTGATTTTACAATCGTCGAAACTTCTTCAGACTTCTCTTCTTCTTTCGAATCAATAGATATTGTACTCATTTCATGATCAGCAACATTATGTGACGTTTCTTCAGATTTTTCCAACGCTGTTTCTTTTTTCTCGGACAGATCAGGAGTCGCAGATGTGGTTAACATGTCCTCTCTGTTCGAAACATTTTCATCTTCGTCTTTTGTCGATTCAGTCGTCGTTGGAATTTCTTCATTTGTATTTACCTCTTCAGTCGTCGTATCCATATATTCTTCTTCATATTCATTTTCATCTTCATCATCAGATGGTGGGAAAAAGAAATTATCAGTGATAATAACTGGCGAACCCATGACACTTTCTTCGACAACTTTTGGTTCAATCTCTTCCGTTTTACTTTCAATCTCAATCTCGTCAGGTTTACTATCAATGACATTAGGCGGTTCCTTCAATTCAGGCGTGACTGTAGAAGTAACATCCTCCTTGTTCTCCATTTCCTCGTCATTTTCTTCCTCGGAATATTCTTCGTCGTATTCAGATGATGGGGCAGTGAAGAATCCAGTTGTGATAATTGCGAAACTCGGTGTAGATTGTACCGGTCTAACAGCGATCAACTTCCTTCTAGTAATCCTGGCTTTCTTCTCAGTACTAGTAGGCGTAACTGTAGTCGATCCAATTTTCCTGCGTCTGGTGATGGTCACTTTGTGTTTTCCAATTTCCGGTTTAAAACTATCAGTCTCCAAATCGCTGTAAATGGAATTAGCCAATCCCAAAGTCCTCACTCGTGTCACCACTATTCTTCTCGGGGTGTGACTAGTCATGGTCAACGAAGATTCTTCCACTTTGGAAGTAATAGGCCTTCGTCTGACAACAGTCAATTTATGCTGTCTTCCATTTTTTCTAACTACAGGAACGCGAATTCTCACGCGTTTTCTGGGTGTTTCCTCGAGGTAATCTTCATCAAACGAAGTCACGCTCCTAGAATTCTCTTCAGGCAACCACGTGCGTTTGTTATCGATGTCGCTCGTTAATCGGTAGTAGTTGTCAGGGTAGAAGTCATCTGAAAAGACGACGTTTTCTCGCTTGCGTGCACGCACTGTGATCCTCGCCATCGCGTACATTGAATATGTATTCAAGGGTATATGTGTGTGTGTGTGTGTGTGTGTGTGTGTGTGTATGTGTATGTGTATGTATGTAAGTTACAGCTAGGGCAATCATGAGCAACAGGCGAAAGGACATATTGAATCGTCTTGAATGTGTTAGGCCAGGTCATTCAAGGGTTAAATAAAGATATTGTCAAACACATCCCTTATTCGTTCGATTTCGTGCACTTAGTAGAACAGGGCATTGTTATCGATCTATATCTGCCGGCGCGATCCGTTGTCCGACAAACAACCATAGACAAAAAAGAGTACCATGCGTCGCGTGTGGGAGCTTGTCGCGTGTGGGCGCGCGTGCGGCGGCGGATTCAAGGCTATGTTAGTGAGATGGGGAGGAGAGCCACAAGTGGAAAAAAATTAGGAAGGAGATAAGAAAAGAAAGACTGGGAATGCGAACAGGACGTGAGATGGACGTGAAAAGAGCGAGATGAGTCTTCTCGATCAACCGAAGCTGCGAGCTTTTCCTGATGCTTTGAGAAGTATTTCCACGAATGAAGAACAAATCTTCGTAAGGATTCGAATTGCACGCAAGATGTATGATTATCTTAGAATTCGTTGCAACACTCGAACATAAATGAGCCAGGGAAAGGTCATCAGCTTCGGTCTAGGTGGGTTTTTCTGATGATGAATTTCGTGATGGACATTATTGATCGAATGATGATAGTTAAGGACAGAAGAGAAGAAGGATTATCTAACGACGTGTGTACGTCCAGATGTTAGGTGTGGATAGACGTGGAAATGTGCCGTCCGACGTCACCCACTACGCTCTCGAGACTCTGTGTCGGCGCGTGTGCGTCCAGCGAGTCCTCGCTCCCCGCCAGGACGGTGATCTCCTCCGATCCCTCGTGCAACGAAGGCGGGATAGATGGTCGTACTTCGACGACCAAATCATTGCCGGTGTCTCGTCGTTTTCGGGACGAGCTGGCTGTATCGGTCACTTTCACGGTGCTCAGAACGGTGCTGAACTCCCCTGGCCTCCTACCGGATACGTACAATGTCACCACACTGGACTCTTCCCTAGGCGCGCTATCCTCTTTTCTATCGTTCGATTTGCCCCGGCCATTTCTCGTTCTGGACGACTTTTGATACTCTTGAACATCCTCCTCCTCGTCGGAATATTCATAGCTATCGTGTTTGTAATCCAAATCAGCTGGCTGATGTCTTCTTTCGACCTCACCGGGCAAAGTGTTGCTCTGGGTGAATGGAGGGGCAGCGAACAGAGGATCCAACAGAGGATTCGCGTTTTTCTGGGGCTGGGGCTGCTGGAGCAACAGTAATAACGAATTCAAATTCGCAGCTGGCAAAGCCGCCGTGGGTGTGACCACTACCGTGTCTGTGATGAACTCTGTTGCGGTCACTATATCCGTCGAGGTGTCCACCAGGGTTGTAAGTATTTCCTTGCCACGAAAAGTGAGCGGAATCACGGTACTCTGTTGTTTGGTAATCGTGGTCACATATGAGGTAGTACGAGTATTGTATTGCGTGGACGGTGTACCTTGGGGTTGAAGTAAGGGATTCGCCTGACCTAACTGACCAAGAAGCAATTGCGATAGAAGGATATTTGCTAGAGGCGCGTTTCCAGGAAGAGTAGGTTGTACTGTGGACACCACATTTTCTACGGAGTAGACAGTCGAGGGTACGATCACCGATTGTGAGGCTCTTCGACCACCGAGAGTAGTCAACGTGTAGGAGACACGAGTGGTGGGCGTCTCGTGAAGCAAGAATCGGGTTATCTCGGTCTGACCTTGAGGATTCGTACCGGTTATCTCGCTAACAATCACCATTAATGGTTTGCCGTCCCCACCTGTCACTGTACTGTATTGAGATGGACTTAGGACTTCGGTACTAGGTTGCGCGGTAATGATATTCCTGTGCTCTGTGATACCATTGTTGACCACGGGGATTGTGACCTCAGTGGGCACATAATGGGTGACTGTGATGGTACCGTCAAAGTCTGGATACACAGTGGGCGCTTCTCTAATATCCTCTAGAGATCCTCTTGTTCTGGAAGAACCTCTTCGATTACCGTTTCTATTGGAAGTTCTCGAAGAACTGCGACTAGATGGAGGTACGCGTCTTGTACTAGTTGATTCTGAGGATTTATTCGAACCATTTCGCAATCGTGGAGGTCTTACATTGTTGTTGTTGGATCTTCCATTCGATCTAGATATAGATGAATTGGGTCTTTTGTAATTCGATCTGCTAGAAGAAGTTCCATCTTTCTCTCTTAGCGTAAATTGTCTACCATTGCTAGAGGTTGATGTCGGTTTTATTCTGGAAGAAGCGTTTCTGTCACCGTTACTCCCCTGTTTCGATCTATTCCTGACTTTATTCTGATTCAATTCTGCAGACTCTGCCGATGTTTTCTCAGGATTATTGGTTGACTTTGTTGGAGACCTGGATACTGTTAGAGACCTTCCACGATTATTGTAACGAGCAATAGGCTTGGAATTAGACTTTGGAATTTCTTCTTTGCTGGATACATTCTCGCTTACGTCTAATTTTTCTTCAGACTTCAAATTTGACTGACTTGGCCTTCTGAATCTATTGGTCAATGATCTCAATTGACTCGTCTGTCGACGTATTCTTCGCCTAATGAACGGTCTTATTTGCACAGTAGGTCTAATGGATTTACCAGAACGACGATTGATCCTGTCCTCATGTTCAGAACCTTCATAATCGTTATCAACTATTTCCTCCACAGGCTCATCTTCGAAATTCTCTTCCCCTTCGGTTTCCAAGTCCTCGTTAGCCTCTATCTGCTCCTCGGTGGCTAGTTCCTGTTTTTTTCCAAATAGGCCTCGAGGTGGAAACAATCCAGTGTTACTTTGTCTTGGTCTCGTTGATATTGGAGCGTTTCTTCCATTTGTTCTGGCGTTAGTCACTTTAGGAACAGTCGGTGAAGTTGGTCTGTTCAAATTTCCATTTCTTCTCGTAGTCGTTGGTGGTTTAGGTGTTGTACCAGTTCTTCCAGAATTATTCAAGCCAATTGGCCTACGGAATCTTAGTAAGGGATTTGTAGATTTTCTCGATGACTCTGTGGTTGTCTGCAGAGGCGTTGTCACAGTTTCACCATCTTCCACATCATCGGTATAAGGAGTCTCCTCAGTAATCAAAGTAGTCGTTGTGAACTCGTTAGCATCGTTCTCTTGATCGTCATGTTTAACCGTCGATTGACCTCTTAACAGAGTAGATGACGGTCTAATCGGTGATCTATATCTGGTAGAAGCTCCAGGAAAAGCGGAACTCGAGCCACGAGATGCAGGTCTAGCAGACGAACCTCTAATAGATGTCGGTCCGCGTCTGTTACCTTGAAAGACTGAAGATGGAGATATTCTAGACTGAGGCCTACCTCTGGTACTTCCACTTATAGTCGAAGAGTATGAACTAGCTGTGTTTGGAGAACCTCTTCTTCCAGCAAATCTCCTGGAACCTGATGGAGACAAAGTAGAGGAATACGGGCCTATCGGAGAACTAACTCGACCTCTGGATGAAGCGAATCTATTGCCTTTTCCAGCCAATGTTGCGGTTATCGTAGGTGTTATGTCTGTTCTAGTAATGGTTGTTGCACCCTGAGCACCTTTTCGTTTCGGATTGAACGTAGGTCTATTTCTAGATGCAAATGGTCTGATTACCGGAGTGAACGTTCTTTTTCTAGTGGAGAAAGTCAGTCTAGACTTTTTCTTAGAACTTTGTCCATCTTCCCCTTCTTCATCCTCTTCTTCACTTTCCTCATTCTGCTCTGAATCTTCGTCTTGATCTGGAGATTCCGTTGTATGTTCTTCTGATAGGGACGATTGAATCACTGCAGGCGAAGGTAAAATCTCCGGGATTTCAGTAGGTTTGGTAGGCGGTTGGGTTGAAGTAGGTGAAATACTTTCTGTTGGAGTAGCAGAAAAAAAGCTAGAAGTACTCTCTATGATCTGAGCATATCTACCCTCGATACTGGTTCCAATCACTTTTGATTGATAGAATGTGGTAGTTCCATTATTTTCGATCTGTCCTTGGATCAACCTCACCAGACCAGTTCTGTGACCATGAGTAGGTAAAATAGTTGCTCTTCTTTCCTCGTTTATCTTTGTACTCGAAGTACTTTCGATGACTTTTGCATATAAACCATCTAATAATGTTCCAATTTGCTTCGTGGTAAAATAAATTGTAGTGATTTCATCAGCATCTATCACAGTACCTTTGTTCATCGATAAAATACCTGTTGGCAAAACTGGAGTAGCAACAGACGATGGCAAAGGTGGTGTCTCTATTTTTGTTGAACTTTCCACAATTTGAGCGTACAATCCATCGATGTATGTGCCATGAATGTCCGTCATATAATGAGTGGTAGTACCATCATTAACTTGGCTAGATCTAATCGTCGAGATTAATCCAATTTTTGGAAGTTCGCTAGTTTTTGATGGTGTAACTGGTTTCTCCTCGGTTGCTATAGTTTGCTTGAATACTGGCCCATCAATTGCTCTACCGGTTGCTTGTTGTTGGGTGATAATAACTTCAGGTATGGAGACACTTGTGACAGTCTCCAATCTGCTGTTCATAATCGTCTCGTTGCCAATATAGGAAGTGGTGTAATAAGTATAAGTAGTATAATATGTGGTAGGTTCAGGTGAAATCGTTGTGGATTCTACAGTATTCTCAAAAGATGGCGAAGCAATGTCTTTGGAAGTTGTAGTGTCTGGTTTTTCGCCTTTGGAATTTTCAATAGGAATAGCAGCTGAAGGTGTCACTTCGTTATCAGCAGTGATTTTGGATTCTTTTTCGTTGATTAGACTATCACTAGTATCCTCAATGTACAACGTCGTTGGTCTATAGGTCATGATTACACCTAACTCCACAGTAGGAGTAGGTGACACTCCTGGTGTAATAACATTGCTAACAGTTTCTTCACGACTAGTAGTAATAGTATCGCCATCTTTGTAGAACGTTGTCCAATAAGTGAACGTCGTGAAGTACGTAACTGGTAAAGTACTCGTCTCCATGGGTATCACTGCTGTTGGCCTAATAGTCTCAGTCACCACATTGGTAACCGTTTCTAGTCGACTTACCACATTTGATTCATCACCTTTATACATTGTCGTAAAATAAGTAAAGGTAGTGTAACTCGTTTGAAGCAAAAGCGTTGGTATTGGCTCTACGTCATGATGGTTCGATTCTGAGAGTTCTTGATCCTCGGGAACCGCGTTTCTCTTGTCCATTACATCTAACACTGTACCTCCTCCAGAACTGGAAGACGATACCACGTCAGTGATCATAGATCCTAAAACTTCTCCTTCGATTGGTGGATTTGGCGTTACTTGTGCGTTTACTTCGAAACCTCGAAACAAATTTTCTGTAATTGGTTGGTCTTCAAAAGTACTTGCATATTCCGTTGTAGTTTCTGCTTTAGCCTCAGATATAGTTGTACTCTCTTCGTTATTAGTAGTCCCGTGTTGTTGAACCTTTTTGGCAAGAAGAAACGCTTCTTCTTGCGATTTCTGTCTTTGAATAGCTTCCAAATATGCCAAGATTTCTGGAGGAGGTTTTTTGACTGGTTCCTCTGTTGATGGAAATGGTTTCTCAGTTTCTTGGATAATTGGCATTACAGCGGTTGGCTGAATAGTTTCTGTTACTACATTGGTGAACACTTCTGTTCTCGTTTCTACTTCTGTCTCGTCGTCAACAAATATTGTAGTATAATAAGTGTATGTTGTGTAGTAAGTTTTGATCTGTTTCCTCACTTCTTCGGTCGGTAAAATTGGAGTTGGACTGGGTTCGATTTCAGGAATCGTTTGTTTTGTGTCTTCAATTTCTTTTTCAATAATTATTCCCGACTCTGTTGGAATATTCTGATCAGTAGTGATATCTTGTTCTTGCATCGTTGTAAGAGTATCCTCTGTTGTTTGTTCTAAAGTTGTTGGATATTTTTCAGTTCCTTCCTCATGTTCAAGAGTCGTTGAAGGCAAAACACTGTCCGAAATTTTTGTTGGCAATATCAAGGTAGGTTCATCTTTCTCGAACAACCCTGCAACTACTGCAGACACTCCATTTGGACCAACAGTTTGAGTGATCACATTCGTTTCTACGACTTCGCGACTGGAAATGCTGGAAGTACTCTCCTGGAAGAAGGTAGTCAAATACGTATACGTGGTATACAGAGTCTTAAAGATCAACTCTATCTCTTCGTCCTGTTTAGTAGTCTGCTCCTCTTCAATTGCTTGATTCGTATCAGGAGTGATTTTGGTCGATATAGGTTCAGTAACAGCCGTGGGAACAATGGAGGATATTGTTTCACTTGGTAGAATAAGCTCCGTCAAATAAGTAACATCTGAAGACACAACTTCTCTGGAACGTATAGAAGTCGTAGTCTGATCGCCATTAGGAATGAAGAAAGTGGTGTAATAGGTAAACGTTTTGTACATTGTGGAAGGAAGGAGTCTGGTAGCCAAAGAAATTTTTTCTTCCTGCTCAATGAATCCGTGTCCTTTATGATCCTGATGTCCAAAATTGTTTTTCGAGCTGCCACCTTTGATACTACGACCTTGAGGATCTCCAGGAACTATATCGTTAGGAATCTCGTCATCCAATGTTGGAGCAATTGATTCTGTAGTACCAAGCACTACTCTTCTTGCACTCTCCAAAATATCTTTCAATGTCGTTAATGCAGAATCAGTGGTATCTTTGAATGGAGTAGTCAATTCGTTCATCTCTGGTGGAACTTCCTCGCTAGTGGTGATTATTCTCGGCGTGGTGCCTGTTGTCATTTGCAACGTAGTGTCTTGTTCCTCATCAGATTCAGTAGCAGTTGTTCCATAATCCATAGTGGTATCCTCGGCATCATAAGTAACAGTAGCTTCATCGGGGAAAAAGTATACATTCGATGAGGTATGGATAATTTGAGCGTAATTCGTACCGATATAAGTACCATAGATCAGACTCTTATAATGAGTAGTGGTACCATCCTGAGAAGTAGTAGAATCTAAGACTTTCAAAAGTCCTGTTGGTTTCACTGAATCAGTTTCAACATCTGGTATTAGAAGAAGAGGTTCCGTGGACGTCGTTGAAGACTCTTCGAATTCCTCTGTAACACTAGGCTGAATATTGGCTCTGTTGATAGCATCCAATAGAGGATCACCCGTTTCGCTATGCGGATCAGATATACGTCCAGAATGTTGTTTGGTCTTTTCTTGGCCAGTGACTACGCTAGTAGGTCTGATTTTTACAACCGCAACTCCATCGTCAGGTCTCAAAGTCGCATCACCTTTGATTGTGGTAGCTGGACGACCAATAGGCGCTGGTGATGTACTTGGTGAGAAAACTATAACTGTTTCACCAACGGTAGTGGTGAACTCGGCGAATCCATGATATGTCACAGTTGCCAGAGGTTTTGAGTCCAATTTTCTCTGCACAGGAGTTTTGGCCTGAGGCTTAAAAATCTTGGGCAATCTGGGTCTAAAACTCTTCGGCTGGTCCTCTTCGAGATTATCGAAATTATTGGTTACGTACTCGTGCGTCACTGTATAAGTAGGAAGATTGTCAGCAGGTCTGATCTTCGCAGGTTTGAATCTCTGTGAATCTGATCCCAATTCTCTCCTGCTAAATATATCATTCTCTTTAGATAATTCATCCAACTTCATCGAAGATCTTCCTTCCCCACTCTGACTATCAGAATCTCTCTCTAACCCAGAATTTTCGATATCCTCCAAAGCTTTAATGGGTGTGTTATCAAGGGCCACCTTGAGTTGCCAATCGTCGTCGGTGGTTCTCGAAGGATAAACCACATACGGCGTGGGGGAATCTGGCGTAGGTTCCTTGTCATAGAATACTCTACTAGACGTGGCCAATATCTTGGCGTATACACGACCATTATCCAATGTAGTACCGAGTATTTGAGTGGCGAACTCCGTACTGGCGCCATCTTGGACGAAGGTTCGCGCGGTTTTCGTTAACAGACCGACCGGAGGGATGGATTTGCCGGGTCGTGCTGAGACTAGGAGGACCGTGGTTACACCTGGAGACGATCATCAAGCATGGAACGTGTCAGGAGATAGTTCAGGATCGTTCAAAAGCACCGAGGGACAATCGCCGCACAGGGAGCACGTGTTTCGATGAGCGTTATACGAATTTGTATTAATGGTCACGTATTCGTTATAAGAAAAAAAGAGATCGTCCAAGTCGTGCATGGTAAATTCGTTTAAGTCATTGAACAGTCAAAATCGTCAGTATCGGTTTCAGCCAATCGATTTTTCATTTGTTTTATAAAAATGTACACATGTGTATTATTTTTTTTTCCCGGTTTGTTTGTTTGATTTGATATTTGCATTAGATAATGTAGGTCGTCGGAGAGACGGAGTGGCGGGCGGACGTTGGAGGCAGACGGCATCCAGTTGTTGAGAAGAGTTGTAGGCGAGGAGCAGGCGGGAGCAGTAACAGAAACAGAAAAAAAGAGACAGACGATCTTAGTGGACGAGTCATCCTGTTGGTATTATAGCCTATAGAGAGCAATCTGCTACGTCCCCGTTTCATTATTACGTATAGTACTCTATGCCCACGAGTATCGATTTCCGATCGTTACACGTTCACGAGCCCAGAATGGTCGTCGTTCCGTATGCCACCGGAAACGGGACTACGTGAATCGTGCGCGGGAAAACGACAGTAGAAGATGTCCAGACGTTAAACAAAAATCATCGAATATATTATATATATTATGTATATATAGTATAATATTTACAGCTCGAGAGATCTGAGAACTCGTTGCAAAATTTTGTTTAATTACAATAGAACTAAATGGGAACTTTTTTAATTCATTCTAAACTTGCAAGGGCAATGAATTTAAAAAAAATTTAGATTTAATACTTATATATCGATAACATTTGAAATTAAATTAGAATATCATCGTTTGAAAGATTTATGTTATGTTATGTTATTTATTTGTGACGAATAGATATGAAATAATGATTTTTTAATGCAATTATAAAATGTTTTTAATAAAGTTGCTGCCATTAATTTAATATAAAATTATTTCTATACGAAATGTTATATATGAAGTTTTTTATGTAATAATATTTAATATTTTTTATTATTATATATAAATATATTAACAATTTCTTCTTATGTAAATAACTTAAATATCATAAATTCTCTTTTGAAAAAAAAATTATGACTGACTCTTTAAATTATTGCTTAGATCGTAAATTTAATAAGTAAACTTAGAATTGTTAATTTCTGTAATGAATTCGTTCGTATTGATTCCCATAAATAAATTACCTTTATACACTCGGTTATAAACATGTTATTATTCGTTCTTCGTTTAATTCTTACTTTTCCATTTCGTTTTACGTACATGTTAAATTGTATCAAATTTATTCGTCCTATTCCATTTTTATCAAATCGATTAATCAAATCCCTCGAGGCTTCGTATTTACTGTAAGTCATTGGTAAGCCATTTACCCACGGAAAACTTAATGCAAAGTGACACGAACAAATAAAATAGAGAAAATAAAATATTATTCGAAAGAACGAGAAGTAAAACAAAAAGTAAAATAAAAATAAAGAAACAACATAAATATAAAGAAAACATATACGTATTTCAAAATAAGTATAACATCTGATTATATACACGGCCGCACCTCGCGTCGACACGCACAATGCAGGTTTTTAGAGAGAGAACGATCGGTTTTAACTGAGAAGAGAAAGGTCAGACAGCGGATACAAGAGAGGAAAGCGAAAGAGAAAATCATTGTCGATAGAATTACATTCGAATATGATAATACTTATTCTTATAATGAAAGATACGATATAACAAAGCTAACGAAATATATTAAATTAAGGCTACGACGAAGAAGAAAATGAAATCATATTCGAGCGGAATTCCAAAGGAAATAAGTAAAAATTGAATGCAGATAGTCGCAGTCTCGAAGGATGGAAGGCTTACCTTGCAGATCTCTTTCTATCCTAGCTAGTCTGTCTTCTGTCAACGATCCATTATCTACAAACAAAAAAAGTATTTTCAAGATATATTTCATATATTATATTATCTATATACTTTTAAAATTTTTTTTTTTATAAAAGAGTATGGACATTATTAAAATTTTTATATAATCATTATATATTATATATTATTATATTATATTAAATTCGATTATTTTTTTTCTATAATCTTTTTCTTAGGAAATTCTATAATAATTTATATTTAATAATAATATTTTAATAATAAAAAAAGTTTTTAATTACATTTTTTTATTATTTTAATATATAAATTTCAGTAACGGGAATTCATATGATTATTATGAAAAATTATACTATATTTACCTTTATAATATATATATAAAAGTCAATCATATATTTCAATTATAACAATTGATAATTGTTTTTATAATGTTTCAATGACACTAGAGAATTTTATTTTTTAATCTCTTGAAAATCTCTTGAAAAATAATTTGTTCAAATATAATTCTATAATATAAAAAGTATATATATTTAATATCGATCACGAAACTACTAACAACATTTCACATAAAAGAAACAATATGTGATAAAGGAATATTTTCGAAGATCATATCATAAAAAGATATTCTGAAAAAACATTATCTTCATTAATAAAAAATTTCGTTTAATAATTCAAAAATATATTTTAAAAATGAATATAATTAACATAGATAAATATAATTCATAATAGCTCTAAGCAATAAAAAAATTAACATAGATGCTAATTACTTTACAACGTAATATGATTTGCAAAATAAAACATTGAAGATTATAATTATTTTATATATTTTATTCTATATATTTTTCAACAAAGATTTCATTGCATCATTTATTTATATTTCTAAGAATACATTATTAAAAAATTTATTTCTACATAATATCAAACAAGAAATTAATTAATTTCTTGTAATTTCATTTTTATTACAATTTATAAATAAAATATCTACGTATATCTATATATATACGTATATGTTTACATATATATATATATATATTATTTTTAATTAAAGAATATACTGACAAAATTCTGCAAAAAAATCCGACAATCTGTGTTTTTCATTCAAATAACAATTTACATTTAGATAAATAAATTTAATTGATATGAGTTCATTATTCAAATAATAATAATAAGTAAAATTTTCATTCAATAAATAGAATCATTATAGGTCATTTATTTTAATTCATATTTAATAATTTTAATAATTAAAAAAGTTATTTTTTCAATTCTATTATAAATTCCAATATAAAATATACTATATTTAAATTATTTTTTTATTGAAATTAATGTTAATTGATATTTGTGCTGTTAGAAAAAATTGTTTTACATATATCTTATCTTGAAATTGTAAATTATTCTACGTCATATGAAATTATACATATTAATATATTTTTTGTATATTATTTATATTTCTATATTCTACGTCATATGAAATTATACATATTTATATATTTTTTTATATTTTTTTATACATATTTATATATTTTTTATATATTATTTACATTTATATATTACAATAATTGCAAGAAGTATTTGAATAATATTGAATTTATTATACTATTTTTATATTTATAGATATATAAATAATTAAATACAAGTAAATTATATTTTATTTCATTTAATGATACTTATTTTGTTTATTTTATATCTTTAATGATACTTTAATAGTTAATAGAACTATTTTGATATTACGAAAAAAAAGAAATGATGAAAAAATACTTCATTACAAAATAAAAATATATGTAAATATTTTGTAGCTGTTATATATGGAGTATTCTAAAAATATACACGAAATATAAAATATATGCAAAGCATACAACAAATATTTTCAGTCAGATAAATAAGTACATACATAAATTGCATAAAATTTTAACGACATCATTTTGTAATAATGTTATCTTCATCTTCCATTTTCATTTCTTATATTATTCGATTATAATGAAACATAACAAAAAATTACATATCTCATAAATATCCCATAAATCATGAATAATGATACAATGTCAACTTAACGCCATTCAGGTTTCATTCTTAAGAATTCAACGGCGACAAAGTGTACCATCAATCGTTTTAAAGTAGGATCTCGAATTCTATTGCAAAATAAGTAAACCAGCGAGGAGACAAAGCCTAGATTATGGCAATGCACGCGTGGAATGAAGACGGAGATCGAATGGAGTAACATTGAATAAGGTGTATGTATGGGAATGAGAGAAGAAGGTTCTTCGACGATGCTGAAGATGTCGTTCAGAGGCCGCGACGTACAGTTATCTGACCGACTCCTTTCTTCTTCTCGCGAGAATATTTCTCCTTCCGTCTCGACTCGTGCCACGTGCACACTGACTAAATCTACTTTGTGCGCACCGAGTTCCGCGCGAATTTGATCGATTTGATTATTAAATAAGGTAATCTATTTTATATTATTTCCTATAAATACAATTATATATTATTATTTCTCTAAAAATGGATTATTTGTTCATTCGAAAAATTCAAATAGCTCTGTTTCGAAATAAAAGTATATAATTCAAAATACGAATTAATTTTATTTTTTTAATTATATTCTTTAATCACCAATCGATATTTTACACTATTGTTATGAAAAAAAAAACTGAGATTTTAACTTCAATTTTATAAAAATCGCATGGAAGAAAGGAAAGTGGAAATTAGTATACTTGTCAATCCGTAAAATTATTTCTCTCTTAATAGAACAAATTCTATTTAATAATGATTTTGAAAGATAATTAATAGAAAAAAATTTCCAATCTCACAAATATTAATAAACAAAAATACGCAAATTCTAAATTAATCTCAAATTCATTTCAAATTTCAATTCAACTCAAAGCTCAAAAGAAGAAATTAGAAAATGTTGCAGAAGTTATATTTAATCTAATCTGGACAAAAAAGATACAATTACAAATAATTCAAAATTCTAGATAAAAAATCCATTATCTCAAAAATAATTTCAATTGACCATCAATCCTAAATCCAAAGTCAATCCTAAGTCAACTCTCATTCTTTTGAATCACCAAAAATTCGATTGAGAACGATGCGAAATTCCATTGCAACACTATTGCCAACGTTACAATACCAAATAAATGAAAAGTAAAAATTCAAGCAATTAACTCGTTTCTCGTATTGTGGTATGCCTGCGTGATCCAATCAGTGTCATTAAATCGAACACCGTTGGAACACAGCCGATCGAACGGATTCTTTTCTGCACACTAGTATTTCATTCATTCGTTAAACTCGATTTGACCAGTTCACCGATTTCGTAGAATTTCGTTCGTCTTGAATGGCCGTCTTCGGTGACCCGGCCTGCCCTACTACCTGCCTCACCTGTTCGCTCCCCGTTACCTTTCAGCTCTATTCGAATCAATCTTACGTAGAATCTTACGCAGAATCGACCATCAAATTTGCCGAGACAATATTTTTATGATTGTGACAATTCGACACAATCTGTTCAAAATGTGTTCGGTTTATCCGTGAATAGCAAAATATCTCGAAAAAATATGAATGATACTAAAAAATGTTTGAGACAAAAGTTGTTATGGTATAAATAAATATTATTAATATTATGCAATATATTAATAATTTTTCTATTGATGATGATGAACAGAGATCATATGAAGATCAATTTTAATTTTTTAAACGAAACTGTATAATTTTTATAGCACATGGATACAACAGATTACTTTTTACAAAAAAGGCTAATTAAGTTATACATATGAAGAAATCTTTAGTTTAGAAGATATTGTAATTTGAAATTAATAAAAATTTTAACTATATATGAATAATAAGGAATGAACATATCGTTTCTTGTCTTTCGTATAGTTTTTGAACTTTAAATTATAATATTTCTTAAATTAAAGATTTTTCAATATAAATAGTACTTCTTAATTTTTTCTAAAAAACAATTAGCTGCATTAATTAGTACAATAAAAATTATAACTTGAGTATAATTTGAAAAATTAAAATTGATTTTCATATAATTCTTATGCGTTCACGTACAAAGAAACTATTATATATTATATATTTATATTATATATTTTTCTTCTGATATTAATTTTATTTCTATAATAAATGATTATTATAAACAAAGTTAACTATAATTTAAAATTATAGTTTTAAGTGAACATCTGTCAGAATTTGTCATTTGTTAATATTGCCAATAAACAATTATATCTACGTCTCCTTCAAATGCAAATACAGAAATTCGATTACAAGATATTCTTATTTAAGTTATTTATATAAATTATATTTATTAAAATAATAGGAGAATCACATATATAATTTTAATATGTAAAATAAATGTATAATAATTTAAAACTTAAAATTTAAAAATTATTTTCTGATATTCGAATTAAAAAAAAAATCGAGAAAAATTTGAATCCAACTTAATATGGAATTAAAAAGGGTTTATTCTGAAACCAAACAATCAATTTCCCTCGGTTCAGTTATTCTACTGAAACTCGTGTTTCAAAGAGTTCCCAGAGATTCGCATTTACACTCGAGCTCTTTTATTACAACATTAGAGTGCCCACAATATTATGGCAAATAGAGCGTATAAACTATCAATATTATGGTGGATGATTATGAAATCTCGACCAGCTGACGATACCTATTCGTTGAACAAGATCGATCAGCGTCTTCTTTAATTGCCAAGTACTCGATCTTTAACAGTCTCTGCGAGTTCTTTTGATCAATGTCTCATGAAATTATGGATATAACAATGAAATCTTCAACAGTTCTTCTAGAAAGTTATATTAGAGAAATTATAGAAAGAACATGATTGAGTAAAGAGATTAAATTTGCATAATTATGCTATTTACTATATGTCATTTTTTAATTATTGTTTAGTATTATTATATATTATTTAGTTATTAAGATATTTTTTTAATTACATTGAAATATAACATAGCATTTATTTTAATTTCATTTCTTGTTACTTTCTGTTATTTAATTGTAATTAAAATTATCTTACCTGATAAAAAAAGAATAAATAATTC